GGCAGTTGAGGGTCTGAATTGCAAATCCAGCCTGTCATCTCCTTGTCAACTGTGGAAAACCTCTACTCACTTTAGGCACTAGTAGGGTTTGTTATTAGGGTTTTGTGTTGTTTTCCAAAAATTTGAAGGGAAATTAGACTCATAAGGCATTTAAGTGAACACTGAATCTGAACTTTGGAAAAGAGAAACAAAAAGTAGAAACTTTGAAATGATTGAACAGCCAGCTATAATTATGACTGTAACTAGCCAAAATTATGGGTTCACTCCATGTTCCTCAAAGGGCACACTGTGGGGGTCACAGGCAGCTCACAAATGGCTAATAGACTGGACTTCAGTGGTTTTGATGCTCATGGCAACATTAACAGACTGAATTTATCATGAATCAACACATTTACATGTGAAATTTAATGAAAAGTAGCTTTAACTCATTGTTTTCACCAAAAGCAACTTAGCTCTGCTCCTCCTACCCCATTAAATCTGGGGAGATTTTTTACCTTAAGCGGGAACAGGTGGAATGAGGCCTGCACAACCTTTTGCCTCCCTATACTCTTGGTTCTAGGCCAAAGAAGGTTAAGGACCACTGCCATAGGGATAGAGAAAAGGCAAGCTGTTTGGGATGGTTTATTGTGATGATTCAGGATCCATTCCACGAATATTTATTGAACGACTACTGTGTCAGCTCTGTGCAGTGCAGCCTGGGGTAAGGCCATTGCCAAACACCACTTGGTTCATTAGAATATACCAGCTAGAAAAACAACTGAATGGGAAGTGAGACTATGAAGCCTGACTTCTGAGACCTAAATGCAGAACACGCTGGCTGAAATCACATCTGAGTGATCTGCCCCCACTTGATGGATGATAAAAGAATATCGGTAGGGCCTTAGTAGGAGTCTTTTTGAGAGAATAATTCTTACAATATGTGCTAGAAAAGAGCAATAATAATAGACCATAAAAATTGCTCTTGACTGATACATCAGATCAGAAATACCAGTTGATAAAAATAATGATGGCTGCATGGTAGAATGGCACCGTTTAGTAAAACTACAAACGCCCACAAAGAAAGGAATGAGCAAGGGTGTGCTGTTTGCAGAGGCTGAATGTGGGAACTGTGGAGCATCCAAATAAAGCAGTTGAAGTTCACACACATATCTACACACCCACTCAGACCTTATTAATCACTGAAAACTTATTTTAGCAACTTCAATTTTACCTTAGGACTTTTATTGTAAGACTGTATTGCCAAATCATTTGGACCATGGGATCGATAGCATGTAATAAGTTGATACCGATGTATTTATGTTTAACAAGTAATATAATAAAATGACAGGTAAGCATAAAACAAGTAAAATAATAAAACGACTGAACTCTAAACTATCTGATGGCAGACTCTGTCTTTCTCTGATCGATCAGATTCCTCTAAATGTAACATCCATGCTATGAAGTTTCAATAAGACAGAGTAAATCTAAATGGCTGGTGTCAAGTGAAATAAGTCATACAGAAAAAGTTAAGAACCATATAATTTCACTCATATATGGGATATAAAAGTGAAAGCAACAAATGAACAAACAAGAAAAATAAACAACAAATCATAGACAGAGATGACAGTATGACAGTTACCAGAGGGAGAGGGTACGAAGGTAATAAAGGGTAAAAGGGGATCAAATATATGGTGATGGAAGATTTGATTTTGGGTGGTGGGCACACATACAGATGATGTATTATAGAATCATGCACTTGTAACCTATATAATTTTATTAACCAACTAAAGATCCGATGCATGAAATTCATGCAAGAGTAGGCCTTCCGTCCCCTGGCTGCTGGCACTGACTTCCCTCTGCCACCTGGGACCCATGCTTCCCTTGCAGCCCTGGCTTTGTCTGGAAGATCGTCCGGAAGGATGTCCAGTCTAATTAGCATATTAGTTTTTTATTATTATAGATGTTATCCCAATAAGATAAATTTAAAAATCTTTATGACTGGACTTTATTCTGTCTGTAAGTACCGCATCAAAGTATAATTCAATGTTATTTGTTACAGCTCATATGCAAATTATAATTAATTAATAAAAGGTAGCTAATGTTGGCACCAAGCAGAATTGCTAAATATTCACCTTTATGGGCTGGAATTTATGGGAAAAATCAACATTTTGATGAACTAAGGTTTGAAATAGAGTTATGATTATGGAAGGAAAGTACTTTCTTTCCATAATTATGAGTCAGAGCTTAGACATCCTTTTCTTTCACTTTGGCTTGTTAATGTATCTCAAATTAAGCAATAGCACTTTCAATCTTGACCATTTCTGTTTGTTGAACATTAATCTAATTCATTATCACTAGTTACTATTTTTGGATGTAGGCTATAAATGTATTCACATAGAAATCTCCCATTTTTACTATAATGTAATCTTAATATTTATTAGTAATATTACTAATATTGGCATTCTTTTGTTACTTTGTCAACTAAAGCTCTATGTGGTATCCAAGAAAGACCCACCTTATAGCAAATGCTCTTTTAAAATATTAAAATGAGGTTCCAGTAAAGCTTGCCTGCAGCTGAAACCGGTTTGGCTCAGTGAATAGAGCGTTGGTCTGGGGACTGAAGGGTCCCAGGTTCGATTCCGGTTGGGAGTGTGCAGGGGGCAGCTGGTCAGTGTTTCTCTCTCATTGATATTTCTGACTCTCTATCCCTCTCCCTTCCTCTCTGTGAAAAATTTATTAAAAAAATAAAGCTTGCCTGCAAACCTTCTCCCACATTTAAACACACCTTTCCATGCACAGACCTTTCTGCATAATTTGCAAATGTCTTATAGGCCTCCTAATTGATCAGAATGATGCAAGAATGATGTTACTGAAGACTGATATTTATGCTCCCATTGTAAAGGAGGGAAAATTGGGGCCTGAAATAATTCAATGGCCTGGCACTGCTCAGGCAGATCATGACCTCAAAGACAAAAACGTTCCCGAAAAGCATTTCTAAAACTTTACTAGAAGAACAAGGCATGTTTAATTAATGGATAACCAGATTACTCTATTGTTTAATCTCTCTTGGATCAAAATCATTTTTTAGCTTTAAAGTCACCCTTTATTTTGAAGCTTAAAAGTTATCAGCATTTATAGCAGAGAGGAGGGGTGCTTCATGGAAAGTGATAACAAAATTAAATGAATAATGAGATATGAGAAGTTATTTAATTGCTCATGACTTTTGTAAAGTACAATAAAAGCTTTTGAAGATATTTGTCATTTTTGTTGTTGTTTGTTTTCTCCTTCTAACTATAATAAGGCAAAAACTTGAAACAACATGGCTGATATAGGAAAGCTGGAAAATTATGCTAAGTAAATGTGTTGACAACTGACAAATGGGAGGTATTACTAATTAAGACTGAAAAGGCATTTCCCTGGCTAGGTACTCAGTTGGTTAGAGGTCATCCGATACACCAAGGTTATGGGTTCAATCCCTGGTCAGAATATATACAAGAAGCAACCAATGAATGCATAAACAAGTGGAACAACAAACCAGTGTTTCTTTCTCTCTCCCTTCTTTTTCTAAAATCAATCAGTAAATTACAAAAAAGTTGCATTGCTTGGTAAAAATTGTACAATGAGGATAAATAATGTTCTGAAGATAGTTTACATTTTTAATTTTGTTTATTTAACATCTGACTAGCAATGTTATTTTAGGCAAGTCTTTTTGCTTTGTGTTTTATAAAAGCAAAAGTATGCATTTCCCAAAGGACATATGTGAAATATATTCATATTTGGGGGAAGGGTATAATAACAACAAAATTAGCACTGAGCTTTTTTTCCTTCAAGATAATAAAGTTTCCTTGGACAAACAATGAATATGACCTGAATTGAAGCAAAACTCCCTCTTTCAAGGGCAAAGGTGACGCGGGACTCTCTGGAGTCACAAGTAGCATTTCAAAAAAGCAAATTGCTCCCCGTGCTCAGAGACAAAGCAGTGGGTTTTGGTTTCACAGGAGAACCATGTAGCTCCCATACGCTCAACTTTAAAATTGCCAGAAAGTATGATTTAGAAACTGATTTAAATTGTGTAACAAAATGTCCATAGTACTTTCCATGATTTAAAATATTTATGTTACTGTATCCAGTGGTAACCACAAAACCATGTGTACTGTATTTTTATGAGCTTTTGGGAAGATTTGCAAAGGTAATTTTGATTACACTCCATTTTTTCCTAATGAATTTACCTTAGAACCTGACCCCTACATAAGTAAGAAAAGACCCCACTATAATTTAACTTGTATTTGAGATCATAACACAGGGGTTTTCCCTGCAAAGCTACCTTATGCAAGACAACTTATCTAGAGCATAAAAGCAGAGCTTCAATCTAACATTAATTTCAAATTAAAAACCAAATAAAAAAATATCCAAGGTGATGTATTTTTGCATTTTCTGAGTTACCCCTATATAACTTGGATAATTTTTGCTAAAACATTACCAAGTGCCTGAGATAAAAGGGAATTTAAGGCCCTGGCTTCCAGCAGGGCCATTTGTTAGGCTGGCTGCAGGACCTCTCCACATCCATGAGTCATACTGAACAAAGCTCGGTGGTTGGGGTGACCATAGATGAATCATTTGACCTGTTGCTCAGGTTGGTCCTCACACTGATTGTCCAGTTATTGCAACTTCTCTTACTATCCTAAGTAGCCCACCCCAATGACAGGTGGGAACTTTGCTTTGGAATCGCTTTTGCAGGTGATGCCTTACCTGGTAACGACACAGTCCAGGTAGTTTTCCACAGGCAGGATTTTTACTGCACATATCCATGCCATTTTTCTTTAAAGTACGGTAAATATGGATTCCAGAAAACAGTAAGAATCCAGACAGCAGGGAGGTTACTGTTCATGTTTTCTCTTCTAATTTGGGAATTAGCATAGAGAGGAGGGTCCACACACTGCTTTCCTTACGTTTCTCAGGTGGAAGCAGAAAATATTCATGGATTTCTGTTTTCCTTCCTCCCTCTCCTGCTGGCCCTTCAGATTTATGAGGAATCCAAGATGAATCTGGAGCAGGAGAGGCCATTCATCTGCAGTGCGCCAGGCTGCTCCCAGGTGAGTGTGGAGATCTCTGCTCTGTCTTACAGGGGTCACAGCTACAACAGGGAAGCAACAGGGAAGCAACTCTCTCTTGTCAATCATGCCTGCTGTGGGCTTTCCTTCTTCACCAAGGTGTCATATCGTCAAAGATCTCTAATCATCATCACTATCATCGTCATCATCAATGTGTTCATTTTTCATTTTGAATAGTTTGAACTACTTCCCTCATAGCCCCTGAAAAACATCAATTTTGGCCACTTCCCCCTGGAAGTATGCTAGTTGCATCTTGCCCACCAGATGCTCAGATTAGTTATCTCAGAAAGAGGGGAAGGAGGGTGCCTGCTGTTATAACAGCTACTTGAATATTGGCTCTTTGAATTACTGGTGAAAGAGCTTACAACCAGTGGTTGAATTCTGTTTTGTTTTGTTGTTCTATTTGAGTTAAATAAACCCCCTCTAACTCTTTGAGAACCTATGATTTTTTAATTTATTTAAACTTTAAGAGGAGAAGTTGGCCTACTGTGCTATATTAAACCTTTTTTTAGCCTCCAAAGGCTCCCATCAAGTGAAATTGTGAGAATTAGATGAGATACTGCATGTAGTTTAGTATAGAGCCTGCACATAGTAAGTGCTCAATTAATGTTTGCTGTTGTTACTATCCCTGCTGCTTTTATTATTACACTGGAACCTATCTCTTTGGAAGAAATTTGAAATATCCATCATCTAACATCAGAGGTTTACATGTTGTCTTTGGTGACTTTTTCTATACATGACCCTTTGGGTGCCTTCATGTTTCAGTCATTGGAAAATGACCACATATGGTCATTCTCACGCCAAGATCTTTATTCTGTTGGATATAGGACAAGCTTAAAGCACAGGCTCTTTCCAACATGGGTTGCCCACTTTCCTGCTCCTCCTTATTTATGTGGTGGGGTTGGCAGTGCCGCGTGCAGTAATGTCCAGGAGTCAATGAGAGATGATGCCTATTGAGGGCCTCATTATATCTCCCCAGAGAGTTGGGAGGGTCTGGGAGCCTTTTGGAGAGAAGATGCCATGGAGAAATGAATGCTTTTGCTGGTGCTGCCTTGTGGTGTTACCAGCCACTGTTCAAGAAACCAGAGTCCTTTGCATGTGCTCTAGCAAGTTCTCCCAGGGCTTTTTGTGTGAATATTGATTTGCAACCTATAAATAAGAAAAGCAATAGAGGAAATGATTGTGAATTTAAACTACTTTTCAGCAAACTGATTTTGGAGGTCATTTTGAAATAGTAAACACCGGGACAACATAGACGGGATAATCCATAACTGGGAAAAAATCTGCCATCCATTGTGAGTATAGACAGTGGCCTTACCTAAATAAGGTAATGCTGGTTCCCTTTTAGTTTCCTTAGGGAGAAGTCTCAAGGGCCAAAGGGAACCAGAGAATTTGAGCATCATGCTTTGGTTTAGCTGTAAAAATGCGACCTTAAGTTTTCTTCAGTTCAAGTCACTCAGCAAACTTTGGAGTGCCTACTATGTGCACAAGACACACGTATCTCTGTCCTCACAGAGCTTCTAGTTTAGGCATCATATTTGCAACCACAGAATCAATTAGTTAATTTCTGAATTATAATTTTCCATGAAGGAAGAGCACAGGCCACCTTGAAGAGTATCAGGGAGATTTACTTTCATTGGGAAGGATAATACGAGCTCCTCTATGGAAGGGGCATTTAACGGAATAGGATCCTCTCAATGAGGTTCATAGTGAGTCAGTATTCTAGCAGGGCCCAGATTGTGACTGATAGTAGAGGAGAGCCTTTGAGGAATCTAATACTTAGACAAGTCAGAGAGAAGGGAACTGCATGTAGGTCATCAGACTGTGTGACAGTTTCTCAGGCTTGCTACTATTGCTATCTGAGGCTGATATATTCTTGGAGGGGGGACTGTGCATTACAGGATGCTTAGAAGCATCCCTGACCTCTACCTCCTAGATCCCGGTAGCACTCACTCTCTAGTTTCGAAAACAAAAAATGTCTCAGGCATTGCTAACCATCCCAAATCGCCCGAGGCTGAGAATGCCCACTGGTTTGAAGTTTGGCTTTAGCCTTCTTTCTTTTTGGATCCCTTCCTTTTGGGGTAGAGGGTTTACCTACCTCTAACTGATGCTCTCTACTGGATTTTAAAGTTTGCTTTAAGTTATCTCTTCTCCTTTTTGGAATTAGGCAGTATATAAAAAGTAAATGCCACAGACATGTGGTCACTGGTGTCAGACGCTGCGAGAGCTGGGACAGTGAGAGGCCTGAGCAAAGGCTGTTGGGTTTGGCAGTGGGTGCTTGCCGGCGACCTATGAGAGAGGAGTCAGGGTGGGGGCCGGAGTGGAAGGATTAACGAGTGAGTGGGTGGCAAGGAAGTGGAGGTGGCCAGCATAGAGGACTCTTTCAAGAGCACTAGGGAGTGACGGGAAGCAGAGGGATATAATGGCAGCCTGAGAACGATGCTGCATGAGAAAGGTTCTTTTTTAAATTAAAGGCGAGCCATGGCTGGATTTATTCAAGGGCAAGGACGAGGGAGTTGGCTGGCTTGAAGGACAACAACTGAAGCATCAATCCTGGGAAGATATGGGGTGTAGAGTATCCTACGGAGTAGGGAGTGCTTATTCCTCTGAGAGAGGACGAAATGGAAATGGAATCTGTGAAGTTACATCAAATTCTGAGGTGGAGGTGGTAATAAAGGATGAAAGGGGTACCTTTCAAATGACCTTGAACTTCTCACTGAAGGAGAAGGTCATTTCTTTGAGAAGGCTTAGGACTGAGGAAAAGGCCAGATGAACATGATAATGGAGGATTTGTATAGTTTCTTGGTTTTTAGTAAAACTCTAAGCCTCTCCCCTCAATGCCCTGCCAAATTTAAATGTAAAGATGCATTTAAAACTTGATGTCTCTAATGTGCAAGTGCTTCTTTTCCTCAATAAGCAATTATAAAACATGTGCATCTTTCAGTTGAAGAGGTATTGGAATTGAGAAAGTGTAGTAGTTGCCCAGTGATTACAAGGATCTCCTGGTGGGGAGGGGGGTTTAGGAAATGCCCCTGGAGTCAGTTGTGATCATGGTTTTTACTTAGTGACATTCCATAGCCTGGGGACCTGCACGGAGAAGAAAAGATGGCTGGGGATTGGAAAGGGGAGCGAATATGAATTACCAGTGCTGCATTGGGGATGGTGGAAGGATTTTCCTCCCTTTTTCAATCATTGGAAAAACACTTGGCTCTATGAGGAACAGTCTATAGTACCTGCAAGTACTTTTTGTGTTTACAACACCTTATATATTAGCTCTATCCCAGGAGTAAAGAAAAACAGCTTCTCTCCTCTTTCTGATCTCACAAAGTTCAATGTTAATCTCACTGTTCCTTTGTCCTCCACATCGATCATGTTTCGGGTTCCAGTGGCCTCTCTCGGCTCTGTTATAGACAATCCATTTTGGTTACTTATCATTTGTTTTTAGTTTCCTACCCAATTAAAAAAGACATCACAGATGTCCTATTCTCTCTGTTTTGGAAAGTGATTTATAGTCAACAGGAGATAGGATGGAAATTATAATTATTTAGTAAGTATGCTATTTAAAATTCTATTTTAAGCTATTATTATACAGAGCCAAAAATTGGCTTATAGGTACAAAGTAAAGGATTTGCAATGTTGTTGATTTTATATATATATATATATATATATATATATATATATATATATCACAGAAAAAGTTATTATAAGGCTTTTTTGAGAGAAGGAGTAAGACATTTAAACCATGCATGGTAATATCACATAGTTGATAGTCATTATAAGGTGTTATAGAAAACCAAAGAATAGATGAATCTGCAGCAAAAACCCATGTCATTATAAATCTTTGTATTCAGAAATATCATATAATTATAATGCTTTGCAAATCCTATGTTCTCCAATTTATATGATATAAATGACATAAAGGTGTGATATTTATTTGAAGAATTACTTTTAGAATATTTTGAAGGATTTAACCCAGTAAGTTCCCTCAAGAACCCATCATACTGTCTTCAGAAGAGAGTTCTATCATAGTAGCAGTGGCCACTGAAATTTATAATGACTCCCCAGAGGAACTGGGAAGCCCTGAAAGATGTCCTAAATTATCAAAGATTCAGAAATGTTCACCAGTCTTTGTCTTTGTTATATTTTAATTTGACTTTGATAAAGCAGATACTCTGTTAAGTCCAGTTGTTAAGAAATCCAGTCTGAGTCAGTATAGGCTAGGAACTACTATAATAACAAATTACCCCAGAGCTTCAATGACTTAAAACAACAAAGGCTGATTGCAGTTGCCCAAGCATACACTTCTATTGTAGGTTGGCAGGATGTTTTTCACATCCCTTTAGTGACCAGGATAATTGAAGGGCCACTATTTCTAATATTGTGAATCGCCCTGCTACAGGGGCAGGTCTAATACTGTGAATCACCATGCTACAGGGGAGAAGGAGGGGGGTCTCTAAAGGGTCTTGCATTAAGAATTAGGTGCTCACATCTGGATGACTTGTAACTTCCATTCATTACTCAATGGGCAGAACTAATCATATGGCCCCACCCAACCACAAGAGGATCAGGAAATACAATCCCACCATATGACCAGTAGACAGACAGCTGGAAATATTTGGGAGCAGCATTTTGACAACCATAATAGCACTTTTTGAAAATTAAAAATAAAGTGTTGGTTTACTACACTGTACAAAGTATAAAATACCAAAAATAATTTGTCACACTAGTATAAATCATATGTATACTTATAAAAAAGTCAGATAATGATTGTCCAAGGTCTTCATAAACAGAAACATACTATACAAATGTCAGGGTGCACACTTGTAGGTTTATATGTCAAATAATTAATCAAGACCTGTAATTCTTTCCTAATTCTGACATGAATCAAAATGTTTTCCTACTTCATACATTTCTGCTAATTTCAGTTAATCTATAGATGTCTAGCATATCTATTATGCCTTAGACTTACTTTTACATCATTATGGATAACAGTAACTACTAGAGAAGAGTTCCAAATAGTTTTGCAAAACTCCAGTACTACTTAGGTCTAAATTAATTTTTAAAATTGAGCATGCTTTTCTCATATGTTTAGGTAGAAATGGAAGATTACTTTTGTCAGGTTAGTTATTCTTTGCAATCACAAATTTAAACAATCTTTTATTCTTTAAAAACACAGCATATATCTCTTGTAGATATTATTTTAATATTTTCAATAGTATTAAGTTTCCTCTCTCTGTTTTATCTTTATCTAAATACAAACTTAAGGTCTATTCTAGATACCTCTAATTCCTAAGGAAGCATCTAGTTTACTGATGACTCATCACAGTTGGTTATATTCAAGTCTTTATTATTATCCCTAAGAATAAAAGGCCTTCAAAGGAATTCCCAGGGGGAGGTATGGGAATTCATAGAATAGTGGAAGGCAAAGATCCTCTGTGTCTTCTTAGTACTCAGCCAGATTTTTCTACAACATAATTAACACCCTGGTTAGTTATAATGGAAATAAGGATGCATATATTTGGGAGTAATTCAAAGGAGCATCCCAGTATATTTGCTCACAGAAAATAATTTATCATTTTACTTACTCATGCTTTCACACTTTGTCAGAACAGTTTTTTGTTTTGCCTGTCACATTTGCAATGCTCAATAAATCTTTTTCTCTGTAATGGCAAATATATATTACAAAACTGAATGGCTCCTCTCCCCTCTCCTTTTTTCTCTCTATTTGTCTGACAGCGCTTCCCAACAGAGGACCATCTGATGATTCATAGGCACAAGCATGAAATGACTTTGAAGTTTCCCTCAATAAAAACAGACAATATGTTATCAGGTAAGGAGCCATCAGGCAAAGAAGCTTTGGGTAATCAGCCACCAATACTTGTTCTACTCATGATAGGATGATTTCCACATAAAATTCTGTGCCATGAAAATATACATTTCTAAGATATAAAAAAGACTTAAAATAATGGTAAGCAAAAATATAATCAGCTAATGCAGTGTTCACTCAAATAATTGGAGAGCTGTGACTTTTCATTTTTTTGGCATGTAAATATTTATTACTCTAAAACTTGGTCCATATATCTTTCTAAAAAGCACACACCTGTGATCACTCAGGCGGCAAATATAAATTAAGCGTATGTAATGCACATTGCATTGTTCTGAGTGACATGCAAGGTGTAAAAATTTATATGATTTCTGTTCTCAAGGGCATCACAATTAATGTGTACCCTTACACTTAGCCAAAATAGAGGACTGGGGCTGTCCACGATATCCAGATATCCAGATGGTCCATGATTCAGCAGATACTGGTAGTTTGACTTATGATGGTTCAACTTACAGATTTTTGAGTTTGTGATGATGTGAAAGAGATGCATTCAGTAGAAAATGAACTTCAAATTTTGAATTTTGAATCTTGATCTTTTCTCTCATGGTGCTGGGCAGAGGCTGTGGAGAGCAGCAGCTCTGTTCAGACACGAGATCACGAGGTGAAATAACTGATACACTAGAGTGTCCTGTGTTGTCATGGATTTGGGATATTGTGTTTTGTGTTTTCACATCCAACCAAGTCTATAACCTATGTATGGAAGTATATTGTCCTCAGTTGATTCTCCTGCTTCTGATGAGAAGAGGACAATTACTCCTGAGATAAACTTATGATAATTGACCAACTGTAGAGTAAAGTAAGTCTTCTGAGCACATTTAAGGCAGGGTAGGCTACATCATCATATTTAGTATGTCAGGTATATTAGATGCATTTTTTCACTTACCATATTTTCAACTTATGATGGGTTTATTGGAGGTAACGCTACCACAAGTAAAGGAACACCTGATATTAAATGAGTATTGTAAGGAAAAATACTCTGCAACTACAACAGAAAGAGTTCTCTTTCTGGACTGAAGTGGTAGGTGAAGTTTTCCTTAAGAAACAATACCCTCTTCATATGTGGGAGATTAAAAGATATACTGCATTGAAACATAGCAAGTTCTCAGCAAATGTGAGCAGAAGTAAAAAATAATAATCCATTAATTGCCATTCCTTCCCAGTTTGATAGGTGGTATGGAAGTTAGGAAGAGGGCAAGGCCAGAGGTGAGGAAACTTGAACTCTGTATAGCCTGGACTCTGACTCCACCCGCTGTCTGACCTTGAGGAAGTTAACACATCCTTCTGGGCCTTGGTTTCTTTTTTACCATAAAATGGGAATGATTTTATTTGCCAAATCTATTCCACAGGCTTATTGTGAAGATTCAATGAAAGAATGTAAATTGAAGTGTTTCATAAATTCCAGCAGGGTAATTGAAGCATTTCCCATTACCCTTCTTAGACTGGAAATATTTCCCCAGAGCCACCTGCTCCCCGGTGTTGTGAGAGAGTGAGGCATCGATGAATACATTAGAGTGATAGCACAAGAACAGCTGACGGCTCTGGCGATTATAATTTAACATTTCTATGGCACTTAAATCTTACAAGTATTTTATTAGCTAGGAATTCTTTTTATAATTCTTATTACTGATAGAGGAGGAGACACACAAGGACATGGAGCCGCTTTTCCAAGCTCACCAAACAGAGCAAAGATGAGGACCTTGATCCTGCAATCCTAAACCATTGACTTGTTCTGGCCACTGCATGGTCAGGCTTTACAAGTTTATATACATAATTAAATACCCCTGGTGTCAGAGCTATCCACACAGCTCCATCAACCCACCAATGACTTGATAATAGTTTAAATACATTGTGGTTTCAAAGACTCTCCAAAATCCAAGGTGTCCTCTTCCCTGTCCCTTCATCATCATCTACCACCTCTCTCTCTACTTATTTGTTTTTGCTGAACCAGCTGGCTCTTCAGAAATAGTTTGTGTGAAGTCTAGAAACAGATGCGAAACTCAAATTTGTAAGAATTATAAAAACCTACAAGGGCTGCCGGGACCAGTTTGGCTCAGTGGATAGAGCGTCGGCCTGTGGACTGAAAGGTCCCGGGTTCGATTCCGGTCAAGGGCATGTACCTTGGTTGCGGGCACATCCCTTGTGGGGGGGGGGGTGCAAGAGGCGGCTGGTCGATGTTTCTCTCTCATCGACGTTTCTAACTCTCTATCCCTCTCAATTCCTCTCTGTGTAAAATCAATAAAATATATTTAAAAACAAACAAAAAAACAAAACCTACAAGGGCTAAGAAGGACTGTCAGTTCTTTTATTTTTTTATTGTTTGAAGGATTACAAATAGTAGTACATATGTCTCCTTTTTCACCCTCTTGACTTTACCCCAGCCTCCCTACCCCCGTATATGCCTTCACCTCCCCCGACTCATGTCTTGTATCCATTGGTTATGTTTATATGCATGCATACAAGTCCTTTGGTTGGTCTCTTACAGCACCTCCTCCCTACACCCCCGCCCCCATCCCCAAACTCCCTTGCCTTCCCGCTATAGTTTGACGGTCTGTTCAATGGTTCTTTATCTCTATAACTATTTCCCCCCATTTTTTTCTTTGAAAAATCTTGCAACTGCAGACTAGAAATAATAATAATATAATAACAAAAAAAGTTTGAGTCCCAATTTCAGTGTTCAATAGTTCTGAGACCCAGTTTCAATGTCAAATGGTTCCTTATATGTACATGCCAGCAATGATATCTGGATGATGGACAGATGGCGGCAATACAGGTCCAACCCTCTCTGGTTTGGTCCTGGGCAACCTGCAGCAACACACAGCTGCTGACTGCTAGCGTGGCCAGGCATCATTAGTTTCTTCCATCTCTGGGCTGTTTCTCCTCTTGTCTTCGTGGTTGGAGCAGACCTGACAATTCCTCTTTGTTAAAGGAATCCCCATGGTCTTGGAGTAGTTTTCTGAAAATATACAAACATATTCTCGACCAAAAATTAATAAAGGAATCTTTTCTATAAAATTGACTTGGGATCCTTTTTATTTTTGCCCAATTTTCCTTTGGCTTGTTTTGACACCATGTGTGATTTTTTAAGGGTGTCTTGCTGTTAGCATTACAAATGAAAATTAATTTTCTATAGTAAAATTTTTCTAGATATAATTTACTTACAGGATATTTTTCCTTACATATTACTCTACTATCCCTCCTTTTTTTTTTTTTAAATGGATGCTTTTATAAATTTTGTAATGCAGTCTTGATAACTTTATATTTTAAGTTTTTGCACAAAAATAAGACTGCTTTAGGTTCATTTCATGTTAAGCAATTTTACCGTGAGATGCACTACCAATAGAGATTTTAGTTAATACTTTAGGAACAGCTTTTTGTCCAGTACACTTAAGTTTTCTTGGATGTTCACTAGGACTGTCAGTTCTTGTGTTTTTATTACTTATTACTTCCTCTAGAGTCATTGGTGCTATAACTTCATAGTTCAACAGTGAACCTATATATGCAAGTAGTAAGCTGCAGACTTTGCAATTCCAAATATTTAAATACATAAGTTCTTTCTTTATTTTTCCCAAATAAGATCTCTAAAATAGACTTCATGGTGGTAGAGAAGTGGGAGGTAATATTAGGGAGTGGTAATTATGTGGAGATATTACCAGTATAGTGGTGTCAGCATAGTAGCTTATTGGCATATTGCTAGTAAGGCCTCCAAAAGTCCCATCTAAAGGTCTGAAAAAGTAGCTAAAGATCTGTGAACATTTCTATATAATGGATATTAGCAGGGTTTTGATTAAGTTCTTACAGCTTTTCATTTGGTCTTATCAGACCCTTGTTAGTTTAAGACTGTTGCTTCCAATAACTGGCAGTGTCAGGTGGAAAAATATTGGGAGAAAAGTCACTCTAATTTTTATTATGTCCAACTTGGAGTAAGAAAATGAAGGGAGAAATAAATGGGGAAAACAGCATGAATAATATATTGCCATATTTTCTTCTGCTTTCCCATGCTTTATGTTGAAGCTGGGATGAAGTCATTTCCTATTACCAATGAAATTAAGTGCTAAATTGTTTAACTTGTTACTCATTCTGCATGTTCGTAGTCTGGTAGAATTTTCTTGCTGGGATGGAGTACAGAGGTATCCAGTCCAACTTTATTACTTTGCATTTAGAGGACTGAGGTTTACTACATGTTATAAGCCAGTGTTGTCCATGTTGAACTATAATGGGCTATCTACTGGATATTTTTGCTTTGGTATTTGATTTTTCTAGGAAAGACTTCACTATGTATTTATCTCAAATATCATTGTAGTTTTTAACATATTAGAGTGTGATTGTAAATATGATTGAAGTTTTTACTTGTGTGTATCTTAACTTATTGAGATTTGAATTTATTAAAAGCTACAGAATTTACTCTTATTAAAATAGGCTTATTACATTTTTATTTCTTAATATACTTGAAGCCTATATTGTGGCCTATCATGAAGATCTTTTACAGTTTGAAATATATTAATAATAGAAATAGTATAGACCAATCTTAAATCAGCGAACATCATCAGGGCAAAAGTTTTCAAGTCCCTCTCAGGCCATTTTTGTAAAGCAATATTCAATTAAACAAAATTTTATTCCAAATGAACTAGAATTTGACATTAAGAAGATAAAATATAGTAGTATGTATATTCATTATTAATTTCAGGATATCTTGTTAAGTTGTATTTTGGAAAATCACTTTAGCATTTATTAATTATAAATATTGAAGTTAGGGAAGTTATTAAGACACTGCAGATATACTCTTCAAAGATAAATGTCCAAAGAGTTGTAGTATCTAAAATAATTACATAGCTTTGGCACAAAGTCCATTTTATTTCGGCCAGAGTGATCTTTGACCTGCCACAAGGCAGGGTAGTCAATGTGTTTGATTAAGCTACAGCTGCTCTTATGAATAGACAGTAAACATA